GTAAGTGTTGACCCGACAGAAGGGAAAGGGAGATGAGTTAAGAATCATGTGTACGTACATGCGTGGGCGTGTGTGTGTGTGTGTGTGTGTGTGTGTGTGTGTGTGTGTGTGTGTGTGTGTGTGTGTGTGTGTGTGTGTGTGTGTGTGTGTGTGTGTGTGTGTGTGTGTGTGTGATTGTGTGTGTGTGTGTGATTGTGTGTGTGTGATTGTGTGTGTGTGTTTGTGTGTGTGTCTGGCTTTTGATTCTGCTCTCTATGTATCCCTCTCTCTGTTCCTTTATGAGCCTGCATGTGTGGGATTGCCTATTGAATACCTATATCACAAACAATGCCTTTGCGTGCTAATATAGATCATATTGTTCGTGGTCAGTGAACAGATTCCTAGATCTATCGGCCATTCTATCCTCCTGTCCTGTTTATCTATATACATATATACACACACACACACACCACACAAACACACACACACACACACACACACACACACACACACACACACACACACACACATATATATATATATATATATATATATATATATATATATATATATATATATATATATATATATATATATATATATATATATATATATGTGTGTGTGTGTGTGTGTGGGGGGGTGATGTACACACACTCACACTTATATATATATACTTACATATATATATATATATATATATATATATATATATATATATATATATATATATATATATATATATATATATATATATATTCACACACACACACACACACACACACACACACACACACACACACATACACACACACATACACACATACACACACAGACATATGTATATGATTAATTGAATATATGCATCGATATCTACAAATATATGCCTGTATATCAATCTGTCTGTCTCGTTGTTTATATATTTATGTAAATATCCAATTATCAATATATCTATTTATCTATCATTATGTTTATCTATCTATCAGTATATTTTTCTACCTGTCCAGAAATCTCACAGGCTGTCTAAATGTATATGCATGTATGTATGTATGTATGTATGTATGTATGTATGTACGTATGTATGAATGTATGCATCTATCTATCTATCCACCTATCTATCTATCAGTTTACCAATCTATCCATCAATCTTTCTAACTATTCGTCTGTCTACCTATATCCTATATACGGATCATGATAATAGTAATATATATATATAGATATATATATATATAGATATATATATATATATAGATATATATATATATAGATAGATAGATAGATAGATAGATAGATAGATAGATAGATAGATAGATAGATAGATAGATAGATAGATAGATAGATAGATAGATAGATAGATAGATAGATAGATAGATAGATAGATAGATAGATAGATAGATAGATAGATAGATAGATAGATAGATAGATAGATAGATAGATAGATAGATAGATAGATAGATAGATAGATAGATAGATAGATAGATAGATAGATAGATAGATAGATAGATAGATAGATAGATAGATAGATAGATAGATAGATAGATAGATAGATAGATAGATAGATAGATAGATAGATAGATAGATAGATAGATAGATAGATAGATAGATAGATAGATAGATAGATAGATAGATAGATAGATAGATAGATAGATAGATAGATAGATAGATAGATAGATAGATAGATAGATAGATAGATAGATAGATAGATAATGCAAACGATGATAATAAAAATAATAGAAAGATGATATTGATAATTATAAGAGTAATAATAATGATAATGAGAGTAATAGATGATGATAAATTGATAATAATGAGGATAATAATGGTAATAATAACGATGGTGACAAGAAATTGAAAATTTTGATAATGATAATGATACTAATTATAGCAATGATAACAATAGTAATACTACTACTACTACTATTAATGATAATAATGATAACAATAATAATAATAAATCTAATAATAATAATAATAACAATAACAGTAATGATAATGAAAATAATAATAATAACAATAATAATAATAATAATAATAATAATAACAATAATAGTAATGATAATGAAAATAGTAATAACAATTATCATAAAATTGAAAATAAAAACAGTAATGATAATCAAATAAGAATAATAGCAACGATAGTATCTATAATGATAATGATAATGGTAATAATGATAAGATAATGATAGTGATATTGATAAAAAATAGTAATAACAGTGGTAATAATGATAATTATAATGACAAAAAAGTGACTAATACTAATACTAAAGCTAGTACTAATACTAATGATATGATAGTAATGATGGTAATTATGATAATAATGGTAATGAAGATAATGATATTGATGATAACAATAATAATAATTAGAATTATAATAACAACAGTAATGAAAATTTTACTACTACTACTAATGATAATAACAATAATGGTGATAATGATAATAATAACAATGACTATGATGATAGAAATAACAATTATAAGAATAACAATAATAATGCCGATGATAATATAGATGATTAAAATAGTGATAAAGATAATAATAATGATATTAATCCTAATGCTAATGGTAGTACTATTAATAATGACACAGCTATTACTAATGATAATGATGATGCTGATAATAATAGAAATAATAATGATAATAATAGTAATGAAAGGATAATCATCATAATAATTACAACACCAACATTAATAATAATGATAATGGTAATAATTATAATGATAATGATGAGAATAATCATGATAATTCTAATGAAGATAATAATAATAGTAATGATAATGATATTCATAATGATAATGAGGATGAGATGATTATAAAGATAATGATAACAACAATGCTAATAGTAATAATGATAATGGTGGTAATAATAACGATAATGATAATTATAATAATGAAGACGTACACATATCATACATTTTTTTCAGTAATCATTTAACACACAAAAAGAAAATAATTCATAACGAATAATTTCCTTTAATTTCCTTTCCCATCTGATAAAAAAATGAAGTGTTGGGAATATGTAGAACAAAATATGAATGAGAAAGAATATCTTCACATTTTGAAGATTTTTTTTTTGTGTTCTCATACATTTGTCACGATGAATATTTTTTTCGTGTTATGAATAATGTGCAGATAGTTCTGTATTGAAACAATAGATTTTTTTTTTCTCTCTACTGAATGTGTTATACGGAATGTTTTAGTGAAGTTTCTTGTTCAGTGTTAATGAAGCTAATTCGGTAAAAATTCTGATCATTATGTGTCACAGTTTACGAAATACTTTAGTTCGTTGGATTAAATTCGTCAATTGTAAATGGAATTTTGATGATAGTGTTGATAGAAATGGTGATAATGGTGAAAATAACACTAAAATAATGAGTAGATTGATGTTGCTAACAACTACAATAAAAATAGTTTTGATGATAGCATTAACGATAGTAATAATAAACAACAATTCTGTTAATATTATTGCTATTACTATTTTTAATATTCATAGTAATAAGGCTGCAATTGATGATAATAAGCATCACGATAATTGCAATAATGATGATAGTGATAATGACAATAATGATAATAATGATAAAAATTGTAATAATAGAAATGATAATGATAAAAATTGTAATAATAGAAATTATAATGATAATTATAAAGATGATAATAGAAATAATGATAATAATGATAATAATGATAATAATAATAATACTGATAATAATAATAATAATAATAATAATAATAATAATAATAATAATAATAATGATAATAATAATAATAATAATAATAATAATAATAATAATAAAATGACGATAATAATAATAATGATAATAATAATATGATAATAGTGATAATAATAGTAACAGTAATGACAATAATAAGAACAATGATGATTATAGCAATAGTCATGATAATAATAATGATAACCATAACTGAAATTTTCTACCACGACAACACAAAAAAAAACAAAAAAACAAAAAGAAAAATAAATCAAAATGTAAAAGTAAATAAACAGAAAACCTACAAGTACATTTTCGTCTACAGGATAAAAGGAAAAAAATAAAATACTTATGGGTTAGAGCATCGAAAAACTTAAAGACTTTGAAAGGAGTGTGTAGTTACATATTTAATCTGAAATCTGAAAAAAAAAACAAAAAAAATGAAATGGTCTTTTATTCACATTTTTTCTTACGTGCTCAGATTTACGTCTTTTGTTGTTGTTGTTGTTGTTGTTGTTGTTGTTGTTGTTGTTGTTGTTGTTGTTGTTGTTGTTGTTGTTGTTGTTGTTGTTGTTGTTGTTGTTGTTGTTGTTGTTGTTAATGGCGATAGGGAAGTTGATGACGAAAGCAACAGCGATAACATCATTAATGGTAATGATTATGATAAAAAGGATAATAGGGATAATAGTAGTGATAATAATAGTAATGGTAATAATAATCATGATAATAATAATTTTAAGAATAATGATGCTTATAACAACAGCAATAATAGGGAAATGATAACAATAGCAGTAATGATGATAATGATGATATAATGTTACTATGATTAATAATAATGATAATAATAATAATGATAATAATGATGATGATGATGATGATGATAATAATAATAATAGTAATAGTAATAATAATGATAATAATAATAATAATTATCATTATTAACTTTGTAATCATTACTTATCAGTATTGTTGTTTTATTATTATTGTTATCATTATTATTATCATCATTATCGTTATTATCATTATAATTTTTATCATTATTATCAAAATCATTGTCATTATTTTATTTCCGTAATCATTACTATTTCCATTATTGTTATTATCATTATATTCATTATTATTAGTAGTATTAGTATTATCGTTATTATTGTTATGATTGTTACTACAATTATTTTGCTATTATCAATAGTGTTATTATTATTATTATTATTATTATTATTATTATTATTATTATTATTATTATCATTAGCATGGCCCTTATCCTTATTACTGCTGCTTCATTATCATCACTGTTGTTATCTCCTCGTTATCGTCAGCAA